ACTTGTTACTATGGTGCGATTTATGTTCGGTGTGTTGTGTTGTATCACGTATATCATACGTTAATCATTTCATAGAAAAGCTATAAATATTAAAGAATTTCAGATTTACCCCTTCTATTCAGAAGCAACGACAACATGGAAGGTAGCAGGTGGTTGGTGGGTTTTTCTGGATCGAGAGAGAAAGAGCGAGATAGGTGTTGGTGGTGATCGATGTTGATGAAGGTACGGGAACAAAAACCAGACCAACCATGGTGAACACAACCTTAAACCCACATATTTCCACTTTCCAGGATCGTCGTTGTTGAGTGAGAAAAAAGGAGTAATAAGAAAACGGCACAACAATTCAAGCAATGATTATGCTACAAGGTTACCGGTGAGGAAAGCAATAGGTATCCGATTGAGAAAGTTAGGGTTTTAAGGTTTTAATTTTGATTTTTGACATTTAAAATGTTAAAATCGGTTAGTTGAGCATTTTGATTCCGAAGACCAATTCAACTTTTGTTAAGAAATAACGGAAATGCCCGATATATAAGGAACATATACGACAGATGGGTGCTTTTGGTTAAATGTTGTGTTATTCTTTATATTGGGAAATATAAGGTTTACGTTTGAATGTTTTAATATTATACATTTATAGTTGTTGTGTATTAAATACCTGTACTTATTGCATTGTATTTTGTAGAACTTAAATTATAAAATTATTTTAATGATTGTTTGTTGTACTATTAGCTTAAACACTTGAACGTCTTAAATCTATATTTAGAAATAGTAACGTTTGTATAATAATATAGTAAGATATATATATAGATATATATATATATATATATATATATATATATATAATATATATATATATATATATATATATAGTTGGAGGAACATATTTTGAAGATACATAAATCGATTGTAGGGAACACGATAAAAACGATGCTCAAAAATCACTTTTCCAAAGATCGATTAAAAAAATTATGTTTTGAAAACATAGAAATCGTATTTGTAAACACACATTCCCATATACGAAGATCTTGGATTTCTTGAATGAATTTTTGGAAATACATACTCGTACACACAAAGATTTTGGATATTTTGAACGAGTTTATAGAAACACACACAAATCAAATCGTTTATGGGTTCATGGATGAAGATGATGACCACAACAAATCTGCAAATTAAGAGTAAATTACACGATTCGTCCCTGGTCCAAGTGTTAAATTGCACGTTTAGTCCCTAATTTCAAAAATTAACTCGGATCGTACCTCATATGATTAAAAGTTGCATGTTTCATCCCTAACAGACATAAAATGACTATATTGTCCTTTTCTATTTCTTAATCAGTTTTTTAATATTTATTTTGCAATTTATACATTAAAAGAAATGAAATATTGTGATTGATATTTTAGTGGGACCCACCAGCTCTTACACTCACCTATCCATCGCCCTCCACCCCCTTCTTCATCAAATACATTTCCCGGCACCACCACCAGCCACATTTCCAACACCACACTCAACTCCGACTGTTAAATCTCAGCCATTAAAGAATACTCCCTCCTATTTTCCAAACATGACATACACAAACAAACACATAATAAATTTGTTTTCCATTAAAACCCAAATGCACATCCATCTAAATCGAAGCTTGGTTAGTGCCATTAATGGAATCTAGTTTCTTCCCGTCTTGCCATTGACAGTGAACATGATATGGTTGATACCCAGTGGCTCAAATCCATTTATTTCTAATTATTTCCATTGACAACAACCATTCATTTGGAACCCTAAAATCAGCTGCAAGAAGAAAGAGGGTTAAACCATAAATCAAGAACTTGATTTGCTGAAACAGAGAGAATGAGAAGTTACTCAGAAAATCGGTTTTAGGCTTACAAAGATCGTTCAGAAGCAGACATTGATTTCAGAAAATCAATCCACCATCACCATATTGACGATAGATTTTTCATTGGGTTGTGGGTTTGATTTTTGCTACAGTAACTGTAGGGGTTTTAACGATGATTCTCGGTGGTGGCGGAGTGATTGGACAAGTTGTTTCAGGGTTTTTTGTGATGATGGAGACTGTGGCTGGGTCTTTCTTTGGAGACTAGTGTGATGGTGATTGTGGATTTGTTGGTTCCATCGGCAATGGTTGTTGATTCGTTGATGGTTCCATCGGAGACGGGATGATGGCGATCCTTCAGATCCAGAAATCCTTTACAAACATCTCGCTGGAGATTATGATGATGATGATGGTGGTTCCACCGGACACTGTTGGTGGTTCTTCTTCACGAGGATAGAAAAAAGTGAGAATGTTGGGGGTGGATGAGAGTAAAGGGTAAGGAGCAGTAGGGGGTATTGCTTTTAATAAAAAATAATAAACAAATGAAAAATAAATAGAAAAGGGTATTATAGTCATTTCATGTCTGTCAATGACGAAACGTGCAACTTTTAATTATACGAAGGATGATCCGAGTTAATTTTTGAAATTAGGGACTAAACGTGCAATTTGACACTTGGACCAGGGACGAATCGTGTAATTTACTCGCAAATCAAATTTTGGGTTTTGGGTTTTTTTAGGGCTGGAAAGTGTCGATTTTAAGAGCTTCTCCATGGATGAACAAGATGAACACACATCTGCAAATTGATTTAGGAAGGTGTGTATTGTGTGTTCATCATCGATTTGTAGGCATGAGGTTTTGAAGAAAAATGGTGAAAACTCTTCACATAGAGGGAAATAAAGGGAAAAAGCTCATTTCATAAGAAATTTATGTGAGCTTTCAATAACAAAGCGCTAATTAAACACCACAATGTTTTGATTCTCATATTTTTTTTATTTAGGTTTGGTCTTGATTTTCTTGAATTTTATTAAGCTTTTACTACCTCGTGCTATTCCTAGTGATGCCATACTTTTTGGTGTTCTCCTTCTTTGTGTTATTGTTATATTTGGAAATGTGAGTGCGATCCACAAGTGACCGAAGGAAATAAAAGATCATTAGATGTAGACCTGACAATTCGTGTATTCGTGTTATTTTCACGTGTCAGACACAAATTTGACCTGACACAAATACACATACAAAAATAAGTTTTATCTCTTTTTTTTAAGATGTATTCGTGTCGTGTCATGTCACTTATAAATTCGTATATTCGTGTCTCGAATTCTCATGTCTAGCTAGAGGGATGCAATTGTAATAGGAGAGACATAACCAAAAAGAGAGAGGACGTAGGGGTTGAAAGTGTAAGCCTATTTTATTTAATAATAATAATAATAAAATGTAAAATGTAAAAAATATAAAAAATAAGTTTTAAAATATTAAAGTAAACATTTAAAATAAAAAAAATTGACCGGAGGTTATTTTTGGACACATTTTCTAAAGGGAAAATACCGGCAATAGTAAAAAAATGGGGGGTATTTTCAAAAAATAGACACAAAAAATTGGATTTACGGATATAGACATTGATTCCGCGGAGGTAGCTCCGCGGAGCTCCGTGGAATGGCAAAATCGTAAATAAATGAGTGTATTAAAAAAAAAACCTCAAGATCCATTCCGCGGAGCTACCTCCGAGGAATGGATCTTAATTTTTTTTTTTTCTTTTCACATCGATTCTTCGAGGTTTATATTCATTCCCCAACTAATTATTTTCAAGCAAAGATTATCATACTATCATAATCTTTTTCTTGAAAATAATTAGTTGTGGAATTAATATAAACCCCGAAGAAACGATGTGAAAAAAAAAATTTAAAAATTCATTCCTCGGAGCTACAGTACATTCCGCGGAGCTACCTCCGCGGAATACATGTCTATATCTGGAAATGTCCATTTTCATGTTTAAATTTTAAAATTACCCTACATTTTTTTACTATATTTTCCCTTTTCTAAAACCCATTTCTTTTTACTTTCACGCCTTATCTTCTAAAACCCTATTTTTTCACTTTCACCCCTGCATTGTGTTTCTCGACTGTTCACGCACACCCCCTTCACGCCAGCTATCCCTCCACACCACCGCTTCCACCGCCGCCTCCACCGCTTATTGGCGACGCCGCCGCCTCATGTAAACGCCCCTCGTGTCTGTTCTCTTGTTTCTCTTCTCTCCCCTCTCGTATCTTCTGTCCTCTCTCTAAATCTGACCAGGTTATTTTTTCTTGAATCTCGAATCTGAATATCAACATTTAAATCTCGAATCTGATTGTATCTTCTGTGGATCCTTTATCTAATTCCAGTCTGGTGGTTTCAGAGTGTGTTATTGACTAAAACTTGACTGATTTTGTTCAATTCGTGCAAGGCATCCACCCCATTTAGCGCTATATCTCGTTTTCACTCCTACCACATGACGATGGAGCTTCCCCCGGACATACTATTCTACAAGATACTACCAAGGCTTCCGGCGAAGTCTATAGGCCGTTTCAGGGTTGTTTCCAAGCAATGGAACTCGTTACTAATTTCACCTTTGTTTGAGAAGTTACACCTCCACTGTCTAACCAACGACCACCATCAAAACCACCACAAACTTCTGGTTTTCTCTTACGACACACCATGCTTGATCAACACCATCGACTGTGAAGCTCCCGAAGATGGATTAACTCCCAGCCGCTCTTCGCCATTTGATTTTGATCCAAGTTCTGAGAAGATGAAGATTGTAACATCTTGCGACGGATTAGTTTGCGTAGGCATAACCAAGCCTAATTGTGATGATGAATACTCCGATCTGATATTATGGAATCCTTTGACCGGTGACTCCAAGATGTTGTCTAAAGCCAATTCTCACCAAGTACTCCGCTGAATGAGAAACTCTATTTCTTAAACTACACTTTCACAAGAGACCCATTAGAAGGAGATCGAAAGTCATATTCAGTAGTAAGGTTCGATACAAACACAGAGAAGTTCACAGAGATAGCAACTCCCTTTTTTGGAGTTCCAGATATAATCTGCTTCAGTCACCAAGGGTGCATTCACTTATATGGGGTCTATGGTGTCTTTAGATTGAATTCTTTAGTGTTTGGTGTCGAGTTGTGGAGGATGAATGGAGATGGAGATGGATATGGAGATGGAGATTGGAAGAAGGTGGTGGTTTCTGATCCGATACTGAATTCAATGTGTATAAAGCCATTACACTTAATGAGGGATGGAAATTGCCTCATACATTCCATTTCTGAAGGTTTGGTCTACAAAATAGATTTGGCCACAAATACCAAAAACTTATCATGCTCAATTACTGATCCTGATGGTGGCATGAATACATGTCCAACTGGGAAATACATTGAGACTTTGGTGTCACCCTATCGATATCTTTAGACTTTTTTAGCAGCCTTTGCCCTTTTTTTTTGTGATTAACTTTGTTTTCTAACTTCTAATCTTCTGCTGCTATGAACTATGAAGTATGAATTAAATTTGTCTTTGATTTACATGTTGTTTACCAAACTTGATGATACTCTTCTGTAGACAAATTGGTTGGTTTTACTATAGAATTTTGAGAGTTTGATCCATAGTTATAAGTGTTAAGAACCAAAGGGGTAGTCCGTTATGTACTTTGGGAATTCTGGAATGATAGAAAATAGAGAAATCTCCAGAAAAGTCCTAAAATTTTAGTCGAATTTATGAAAAAGTCCCGAACTAATCTTTGTTTACAGAAAAGCACAGAATACCGGCTAAAACTTCGAAAAAACTCTTTTTGACCGGTTTCGTAGATTTAGCCGGTATTCTGTCCTTTTTCGTTAGTTTGCTCAAAATATTAGGACTTTTCTGAAAATTACCCGATAACCAAAATATTGGATTTTTTTGAAAATTACTATGAAATTAATGGATATTATTATTAACAAATCATATATAAACATAAAAAATATTTTTTATTATAAACAAATGAAATACATTTGTTGCTAATTTTTTTAGGAATATAATGGTCGACTATGTACTTCTCTATTGTTTGTTGACCACTTCAAAGTCTCTTTGTTCTTCTTATGTATCGTTGTGAGTGTGATAGTAGAAGTACTCTGTTAGGCGTGTTAGGCGTGACAGGTACAAGAGTTGAAAATATTTATTAATACACAATAAATAAGTGTCTACTTGCTATTAGGCATAATGCTATATGATCACGTGTTATTAGAAAATATCATTACACGAACATATAGATCTTTCATTACCCGGTAACAACCATAAAAATTACAAACATCTATCGAGAGTGAAAAGTAAAATTTGAACGACAATTTAAATAGATAATCACCCTTCACTTGTTTCCATATAAATTATCATTCACGGTTCACTTTTCACATTTTATAGATGTGTGTTAGCCGATGGTTGTTAACATGTGAGGTATGAATGTTGGTTGGTAGTTAGGTTAAACAACATAAGAGGAACACCAACATTAGAGGAATGCTAACTAAGTACATCTCACCATCATACCCACAACAATGCATAAGAAGAACGTAGAGAGTTTAAGTGGTCAGGAAGCAATAGAGAAGTACTTAGACCACCAATTTATTCATAGAAATTAGCAACAAATGTATTTCCTTTTTTATAATAAAAATATTTTTTATGTTTTTAAATGATCTGTTAATAATAATATCCTTTAATTTCATGGTAATTTTCAAAAAAGTCGCAATATTTTGGTTATTATGTAATTTTTGGAAAAGTCCCAAAATTTTGAGCAAACTAACGAAAAAAAGACAGAATACCGGCAAAATCTGTGATACCGGCCGAAAAGGGTTTTTCGAAGTTTTACCCGGTATTCTGTGCTTTTCTGTAAACAAAATTTAGTTTGAGACTTTTTCATAAATTGGACTAAAGTTTTAGGATTTTTCTGGAGATTTCCCTAGAAAATATACCTATCATCATTTAAGCAACACGTTGAAAGTACGATGGGTAAATAAGTAATTTCTCATATATGTGGCATGGAATACAACTAGAATAGCATGGTTTTGATTTAGTTGGTTAATTGAAGTTATCAGTGGATTAAAAGTCAATTTCACAACGGAACGTTTATCCTTCTTATTGACTGAAACTTGAAGCATAAACATTATTAGTTCAGAGGTGACCAAAAGGCAGGTTTCATGAATGGGTGGTGTAGATGCTTCATTTAGTTGAATAATGGGCAACTTAAAGATGATTATAACATGTATGGTCTCATATGATGGTGTTTTAAGCCTACATATACAATTTCATAAACAACATCGGGATGATATGGTGATATGATGATCGAAATTCATAGCGGATACATAAGTGTTGATACATCAATATCTAGCAAGAATGCATGAATTTTATATGAATCGGGGGGATTTTTGAACATAAACGTAAGTTGTCTAAGACTGTAAAAATGCTAGTATGTGAATTTTTTGTAACCTTCAAGGAACAAATTAATAAATGATGTTTTATTATCAGTTTTAATTGGGACCAAACCAAAAGTTTTAATTTTTGCTAAAAAAGAGAATCAGGATATTACAAAAATATGTGACTAAAAGTCATTTTTGTACTAGTGTATGTATAATTGAGTGTTGTACTAGATAGAAGTGAAAGTAAGATGCTGCAGTAAACCAACATATATAAATGCATTGCTATTTATTTCCTTTTCTTCGGACCGGAAATGCCTTGGTTGCTACAACTTAAGTTGAGCTCATATTTTCAAGAATGGTGATACCTAGAAGTCATGTACAAGATCAAGTTGATGAGTTGCAAAGAGATGTCGAGCTCCAAGAAAAGCCTATGTATGACTAGTACGAAGAGGAAGCTGACTACGTAGAGTTTTTTGTAGGAGTTTACCACAAAGGTTTTGTATCTCATGGACTTGAGGACAAATCCAAAATTAGAGGAGGAGTATGATATGGCAATCATTAGTGACACCAAACACTTCACACTTCCCAGAGTCACCTTACTAAAATTGAAGCAACACAACTCTATAAAGATTTGTTGTTCTGAAGTTCCCACTCTCTATATCAACGCCTAAGATAGGCCTTTCCACCAATGCTTCCCATTGAGGATTTTTATTTGGAGTCTTTTCACCCGGAGCTCCTTTCTCCGAAGAATCAACCTCCTGACGCAATACTCTACATTCCATAATAACTTATCTTGAAGTCCTTTTATCCATTTTGTCCACAGTTATCTTCTTTTCTTAATTTTTAGGGATTTGCCACCATAACAAATCCTATCATTTTATGTTTAAGGTTTTCTCCTCTATAAATAAGATTGTAACAGGCAGTTGATGAATATTGAATAAATTGAGTTTTGCTCTTTTATCAAAAATCTTGTTTAGCGTTATAGTCTTATAGATCTACAAACATTGGTGGTTAAAGTGATCAGTTTCTCCTTGATTTCGGCGGCCTTGTGTTTACGAATCTTGGTGGTAAGATCTCGAAACCTTTATCTTTTGTGCCACTGGCTTGACCTTTTGCAACACTCAAATTTTTCAAACAAAATTTTCATTTCTAAGATTCCCAAAACATAGTTTTTAACACCATCTCATGTCAAATATAATTGTCAATTACACAACATCATAAAACAAAGTCAGAATATCTCAGAATCCACAAATATCCCCATTAGCAGACGAGTGTGTACAATCATGTCAGCATCTTCCCGCGATCCTGAGATGTACCTGAAACACATTTACATCAACATTGCAAGCATAAAGCTTAGTGAGTTTCCCAAAAATACCAAATACACAAATACATAAATAAATAAGCCTCTCATGGCTATGTCTCGATAAGGACCCTCCGGTCATGTGTCTCAGTGAAGACCCTCCGGTCCCATGTCTAGGTATGGACCCTCCGGTCATAACTCAATATATACACATAATAATATAACAACATAAGTCACAAAGACAAAATGCATAATAACACATATTTCAGTATAAGCAAATAAGACCCTCCGGTCAATAATATGAATAAGACCCTCTGATCACACATAAATTATCACACAGGTAAGTATAGTGAGAAGACTCACCTCACGCAGAAAACAATAAATCTCGCATCCGAACTGCCAGTCTAGACTCCGCCTAAAATATGTCACATATAACTCTAATTAATAATTAATATTAATAACCCCAAAATGCTAGACCGAGCTTCTCTACTAAATCTCAGGAGGGTAAAAAGACTATTTTGCCCCTCCTTGGCCAAAAGTCCACAAATTGACCAAAGACTCAAAAGTCAACGAAAGTCAACGCCCAACGAGTATGCTGGGCGTACTACTGGCTAAGCATGCGACGGGTATCCTCAGCGCTACGCTGCGCGTAGCTGGGAGTATGCACGGCGTACTCCTCAGACTCCCTTTTTCCACTTCACTTGGTCTTAATCCGCTAAGACAAACATTCCAACTATAGATCTGAGCTAAATAAGGCCTCTTGATTCATAAAGTTGCTGACTTTAAGCCTTTGCATGGCTGGACAAGACCCAATCCCAAAAACTCTAACTTTCTTAAAACAAAAGACCATACAACTCATGCATGGAGAGATTAAGACGTCAAAGCACTCATTTTTATGGATTAAAACACCTAAAAGGACAGAAGAATAGCTCTGGAGTTCACCAAACTCACAAAGCTCCATACTTGGTACATAAAACCCTAAAAAGGACCCAAAACAAGAACTAGAACAAACAATGAACAAGTTTTGAACTTGATACCTCCGGAAGATGCACCAACTGAAGTAGAACTCATATCCAAGAGCTAGAAGCACAAGATATCCTTCCTTCAAGGTTCCTTCTCCACCAAAAGCTTCACAAGAACACCCAAATAGGTCACAAACATTCACACAAGCTAGAGGAACGAGGTTAGGATTTTGGAGGAGGTTGGAGGCTGGTAATGGTGGCTAGAAATGAAGCCATTATGTTATTTAAATAAGGACACAAGGAGGTATTAGGGTTTCATTCTGAGCCTAGTACGCCCAGCGTACTAGGTGGCCTCCACGATCAAGCTAAGCGTATGAGTACGCTGAGCGTATACATGCGTACGCCCCGCATACTCAAATGCCACCTTTTTCAACATAAGGACCAAACTTGACATATATATAAAAGGTTAAGGTCTGAGAAGTTATACCTCCTTTTTGGGGATGTTACACCTTTATAGATTCTCATGGTGGTTTCAAAGTTTCTTTATCGTTCATCCTGGTTGCTTGACCTTTATGAATTTTTGTGATAGACCGTATTGTATGCGACTATTTTGTTTTGTTTGGTTACCACTTTTTGTTCGGGTTTGTGGTCCTTATTATTCAAGTGGTGTTCGTTTTTATATTTATGATATTTCACATCAACTGCACTACATAAAACGTCTACCTATAGGTATTACGTCCAATAATATACTGGAAAAAAATATGACATATCATTTTTGTTTCTTTAGGTTAAAAAAAAAATTATGATTCCTTAATTTATAGTTCACCATCTTCACCAAGACTTGGGTTTTTGAGTCGAGGCAATTAGTGATAATAGACAAAGTTGACTCCAAAAATGTTTGAAATCTGCTCGAGTTTATAATCGAGCCAAGCTTGAGATTAGGGACGTGTTCCACACACAACTTTTGGGAGCTTCTATCTTTTATCTATTAAAAAAATCTCGAAAAAAAAAGTTTCATTTGAATGTAGGAGCTTATAGTTTTTATCTTAAACAATACACCTGAAATCCTAAAACTACTTCATGTAGCGTTTAACAAAAAAACTCTTTTATATTTTTGCAAATTGATTTAATTACTTTTTTTTAAAAATTATTTTTCTACTTTATATTTTACAAAGATGCCTCTTTATGTGATTTTACATGTTTTAAAAGTTTACAACTATATTTGCCGAATACTTATATACAAATAAAAGATACAACTTCAAGCTACCGGCTATTGCGAACTAAGTTGAGTTTGATCAAAATTACATTTTCATCCTTTAACCATACAAGTCGTTATGATTGGATTGCATACGCCTTACAACTGTTTCAGTTTCTCATCGCACTCCTTCTCCACCATCTGGTTATCATCCATCCATTCGAGAGACTCGGTCATTGTGGTTTCCATATTCTTTTTCTCAATGCACTCCAACTGTTAGCCAATATATTTTTGTCATTCATTTGGTTCTTTAAGTTGTACACACAAGTTTCAATTGCGTTACAAGAATCTATCATTTCCTTAACTTTCTTGTCTTCCTCGACAAACTCTTCTTCTTCATGAACCATTCGCCTAATATCTTCTTGGCTCAATCGCCCTTTATTGTTCGTGACCTTGATCTTTTCTGCTTTACCAGGTCCCTCAACCTCGGCCTCCACGTTCAAGATACCGTTGGCATCTACTTTGAATATCACTTTGATTTTCGGGGTTCCCCTTGGTGCCGGAGGAATGCTAGTAAGATCAAACTCTCCGAGAAGCCTACAATCCTTTGTAAGATTTCTTTCACCTTCAAAAACCTGTTACAAAACATATAAACATCTCAAATTTACTAGGTCTTAAAGAAGATTGATGAACGGAAAAAGAAAAATGCATGCACCTGAATCGAGACTATGGTTTGTTGATCATGTAGGGTCGTAAACATTTGGGATTTCTTGACTGGAATGACGGTGTTCCTGGGGATCAATTTGGTCATCATCCCGTCGATGGTTTCAATACTAATCGTATGGGGAGCCACATCCAAAAGAAAGATATCTACATGAGAACACGTACGACATATAGTTAGAAAAAATTGAATGTCTGATAGGAATTAGATAGTTAAATACTTAAAGGGGTAAAAGGGTAATTCCTAAGAGAGTTTGGTAGAGGTTTGCTAATAAATAGAGGGTAGGATTGCATTGTTAGTCAGGCAGAAATATCATAGATTCTTATTAGTCTCTAGAGTGAGATTGGCTCATTGGCTAGGCCTTTGAGAGAGGGATTCATCCCTGGGCAATCATCCTATCAGGAGATTGTATTCTCTATTTTGTTAAATCCTCCATATCAATTCCAGTTTTCTCTATCAATCATCCATTGTTTGTTTATTCTATTTCAATTCTTCATCAATGTCTCTTTGTTGAAGGGAACTTGAGACATCCGGATACAAAAAATGTGTTACCTTTGGTTTCCTCGCTTCCTTCTCGCTCAAAATACCTCCTTTTATTGCAGCACCATATGCCACGACTTCATCAGGGTTCACACCCTTGATGGGTTCCTTCCCATTAAAGTAGTCCTTGAGGAGCTGCTGAAGCTTTGGGATCCGAGTACTTCCACCAACAAAAACAATCTCATCGATCTGTTGCTTTTTTAATCCTGCATCTCCCAAGGCCTTATTCACAGTCTCCATCATCTTTTCGAACAAATCGTTGTTCAATTCCTCAAATTGCGCCCTAGTCAAGGGCTCAGAGAAATCTATACCATCATAGAGAGAATCAATTTCAACACCAACATGGTGTTGACTGCTCGACGCCTTCTTGGCACTCTCAGCTTCCCTTCGTAGTCTTCCAATAGCTTGCTTGTCTTCACTGATGTCCTTTCCATGCTTCTTCTCGATCAGTTTGATGAAGTACTCGACTATTCTTTGATCAAAGCTCTCACCTAGAAAGAATAATAAAACTTTAATTATTTATTTAGTCCAAATAACAAACGAAAACACTTCATATAATATATTGCTCACCTCCAAGATGGGTATCTCCATTTGTGGCAAGAACCTCAACGAGGTCGTTATCAAATGTGCCTCCACCAAGGTCAAAAACCAATACGTTCTTCTCTCCATCTTTCTTATCTAACCCGTATGCGATAGCTGCTGCTGTAGGTTCATTGATGATTCTAATCACATTCAATCCAGCGATTACACCAGCATCCTTTGTAGCTTGCCTTTGTGCATCGTTAAAGTATGCTGCATGAAATATCGAAAAACAAATCCTTAAAAGGGTCCAAAACTTAATTCTCGATTTGTCATTTTGTTAACTTACTAACCAGGAACAGTGACAACAGCATCTTTAATTTTCTTTCCAAGAAACGCTTCTGCGGTCTCCTTCATCTTGGTTAGAATCATAGCACTGATCTCTTCAGGACTAAAAACCCTAGTTTCACCATCTTTAAGTTTGACTTCGATATAAGGTTTTCCATCCTTGTTCGTAATTTTGTAAGGAACAAGTTTCATATCCTCCTGTATTTCTTTGTCCTCGAACCTGTTATACAAAAGAATCGATTCTAATTAATAATACGTTTTACACAAATTATGATACCAATATCTATCAAGATTTATATAGAAATTTTGAAAAGTTAATTACTTTCTTCCAATTAGTCGCTTAACATTAAATATGGTTCTGGGGGCGTTTTTGGTTGCTTGATTCTTTGCAGTCTCACCGATCAACCTCGCAGAGTCGGTAAACGCCACCCATGATGGAGTGATACGGTTTCCATGGTCGTTTGCTATGATTTCAACTTCTCCATTTTTGTAAACGCCAACACGGGAATAACTAGTCCCTAGATCTATCCCAATCACCGTTCCCAACATGTTGGCTTCCTCTAATTTCGCCATGGAACTTGGAACTGAACAGCCTGAGATGCACTAAAGTTATATAATCACATATGCTGAAGATCGTATTGCAAGAACTTACCAATTAAGACGATGGTTAACACGATACCAAATTGACCCATGAGATTTTCACCTTTTACTCTCCCTTTCTTCCTCCAATATATATATATATATATATATATATATATATATATATATATATATATATATATATATATATATATATTTCTATTTCATAGCTCATATACAGCAAGTTGATATAGGATAAAGCTCGTTTTAGCCAATAACATTGGGTCATGTGGTGTTTCCTCTCTATCATCGACGGATTCTTGTGAAACTGCCGCCCATTCTTTTGTCCGTGCGAAAATTGGTTTCAAGATCCGACGACTAACCTGTTTTCCGCCCTCCGATCACTTTCAGATCCAATATATAATCACAATGGTTTTTTTCCCTCGATTTGCTTCTGATTCTTTTGATTTCAGTTTGAAATTACTAATTTCATTTGATTTTATGACATAGATTTCAAAGTAATTTAAAGAAGCTTGAAGATGCCGGCCCCTATCTCGGAAAATATTTAGCATCAGTACCACAGGTCCCTGTCGTCATTACCTCAGCCATTATTTCATCCGCTCAAGTCCCTTTGCAGGTTTCAGTTCATGGCCCCTATCTTCTCTCATGACTCCTCCTCCGGCTTACAGTATGAAACCTATACTAGAACAAGATGATCTATTGAAGACTTGAAGTTAAAATTGTTTGGTAAATCCTGGGACTTTAGAATACATTCAATTTTAAAACGAAAAGTAGCATCCTACTTTAAAATTGTTTAGAATACATTCAATTTTAAAACAAACAGTAGCATCCTACTTGATGATTATATATGGCGCTAATCAATGTCCGTAACCTGTTCGTTGAAATGTCTACCTGATGGTTTCAATTTGTCATGTTACATCCAGATATCCATAACATTTTTCTGTAAAAATTGTTGCACACAGGTACTATCTTTGTACACCAACATCAAACAAACAAACAACAATATCACCAAGAAAATGTTAAACTTTATTAATAACAATCATTACTGATTACATACATCTCACACAACTTTTCTAACCATTGAAACCTTTAACAACCATTGTTACTCTTCATAAATAACTAACTATTAACTACCTTGATAACTAATCTATAACTTCCGGAATTGACTAACAAATTAACTTTCAAATAACTACCTTTCATAACTACCAAGGTTAACCAAGTTTGCTTAGTTGGCTGTACTATAAAATTGAGAGCTTGATCAACATTTATCCAGATTACATAATTTTTAGAGAGTCTGATCCACAATTATTGCAGAATTTTTTTTGAACTTTGTATTGGGGTGTGAGTATTTTTATGCTAATTAGGCAAAGGAATGGTATGTATATAAGGTTTTTGATTGAAGATGGTTATAACATTATAAATGTATGTGGATTTCTTCCCGAATGCAATTTGGAGTACTAATGAAAATGGTATAACATTATTCAATTTTGTTGAACAAATGAACACGACTTGCTACAAAGTTGATAATTGCTGCAACCTTGTATTCTTATTCCAATTGTACATTGTATTCAACCATGATATGTGTTGGTACTTTGTAATATGATAGTTATTTGAGGTGAGCTATACAGAAATAATAATAAAGTCATTTACACTTTCCATCATATATATCACTCTTAAGATTAGAAGGTATATCGGAAGATTATACATGTAATTTGATAAATGAGTAATACCACAAATAATACTAATTAATGCAAACACGATTTATAACTAGACCTGGCAATGGGGCGGGTTTGGAGCGAATCGACCTTGATCCAAACCCTTTTAACAAATTCCAAAATCCGATCCAAACCCGCTCCGTAACCCGCAGGGTTTTGAATAATCAAACTCATACCCTTATCCACCGAATCAACAGATATCCAAACCCGCCCCGTAACCCGTAGGTTTTTTGAATAATCAAACACATTTTACTTAAATCATAAAATCACATTTATTAAATAAAACAAATGTTGATTTAGAAAACACATTATGTACTCATAGACCTTCGATTGAAATTAAATCATTATCGTAGTTACTTCCGATTGGTTTTTGACCGTCGATTGCATTGATAGAGAATAGGAATTACAAACTTTCTTCCGGTTGATAAATGAATTTATTGATTTATAAATGAAATTGGTGATTACATGATGAAATATAAATGAAATGACATCATAATTTTTGGGAGAATACTGGAAGTCTAGAAATTGAGTCATCGAGTCCTATGTAAAAACAATTTAGTTTTTGGCATTTTCTCTATGGACTTTCGATTGGAATTTAAAGTAAACTTTAGGCAGTATAAACTATAAATGTATGATTCTAAAATTTATATGGGGCGGGTTATAAATGGAGCGGATCGGTGATGATCCATACCCGACCCTTTTAATAAAATGATTAGCGGGTATGGGTCGTTAACGGGTAAACATATCAAAAACTATGCTCCAAACCCATATAATTGTTAAGGGTTTGGATCGGATCAGGGTCAAAACCCGCTCCATTGCCAGACCTATTTATAACCCTTTAATTAACCTAACCAGAGTGTATCCAAATCGAATAAAAAGTCACACACGCAAATAATCCAAGCTGTGAGATCAGTATATATAGCACCAAAGAACACCAAAACACAGTTATATCTTCATATCCTTCTCCTCTTCCGCAACTCACGTGAGATGACTATAATACCTAAAACCATCAAACCCATAAGCCCTTCTCTTCTTCCCCCATCTGTTTCTCCTTCTCTCTCTCATTTTCGATGCAGATGCTTGCACACCCAGAGAATCGAGCCCATTTTGTTCCACCTCTTCTTCATGGTCCTCAACAAGCCCTTCATCAAGCCCATAAAAAACAAAATCAACAAATAAAATTATAAGAAGAACGAACAAATCAAGGCTAAAAGCTAGAGACTTAACTGTATCGATTGGGGGACACCAAAGATTCAATGTATTTCCCAGGTGGAGGTATATCCAAACCATGAGCTTTAAACAAGCATGAAATATTTTCCATATGGCAACCCAAATCTATTTTGTACACCAAATCTTCAGATCCGGAATGTGTGAGGCAATTTCCATCCTTCATTAAGTGCAGTGGATGTATATTTACCATGAATACGTTATCAGAAACTATACCCTGCACCTTCTTCCAGTCTCCATCCCCATCCATCCTCCACAACTCTAAACCCCACCCTGTAAAGTTGACAGCATCGATCACATATAGATGAATGCAACCTCGGTGACTCAAGCATGTTACCTCCACATTTCCAAAAAAGGAGTTGATATCTCTGTGAATCTTTCAGTGTTTGTGTCAAACTTTATTATTGAATAATACGATAGTTGAACTAATGGGTCTCTCGTGTATTTTAAGAAATATAGTTTTTCATTTAGAGGAGTACTTGGCCACCACCTTTCTTGTTTTCGGTTGGATTTACGTTTTGAGTTCCTCTCTAGAATCATTATGGATCTTTCTCCATGTGTCGAATCTCAACGAGTATATGTAAGCATCGTAATCTTGTGTTACACGTAGAAGCCTAAAGTCATTGTCAGAAGAGCTGTAATACAACCCGAATGCTTTTCCGCTTTGGTTGTAGCAATCTTTGAGAGAATTGTCATGAGGTTTAGATAACTTGGTATAGTCATCTGTCAAAGGATTCCACAATATGAGATGAGAGTATTCGCCACAAGATGTTATGCCTACGCAAACCAGTCCACTGAAAGATGTTAGAAGTGTCATGTTTTTATGAGTGGCCTCCTCAAATGGCAAAGGGCGGCTGGCAGTTAAACCATCATCGGGTGCTTCACAGTCCATGATGTGAAAGCATGGTGTTGGTGTTGGTGTTGTGGTGGAGAAGACGAGAAGTTTGTGGTGGTTTTGATGATGGTGGTGGAGGTGCATGTTATCAAACAAAGGCGTCCTTAGTAAAGAGTGTCATTGCTTGGAAACACGCATGAAACGGAGTAAAGATTTTGTTGGCAGCCTTGGTAGTATGTTGCAGAATATTATGTCAGGGTGAAGCACCGTCGCCATGGATTAAATTAACTACAATAAACAAATATAAGACATAATGTTATGTTGAAATATCCAATCTACTACAAAACTCATTCATACAGACTGAAGTTACAAGTTTCGATTACGTTCCCGTGAAACGAAATATCTTTTGAGTCCATGGTTATTGTGGAGGAGGACAAAATGATACCAAGAATTAAGAGATGAGAAGAGAGTGATCAGAGAGTTTGGCTAACTTGTGAGTGTATACAAGGAGAGCTCAAGACGACGAAACAGCAGATCGAAACGACGAGACGGCTAGAGTTGGACTCGTCAAGAACGGCGTGAGCGTGACCTCTAGGCGTTGAATGCCGTCTTAGGGTTTCTTCGTTTTTTTTAGAGATTTGTTTTCTTAATTTATTTTTAGTGGGCTTTTATAGAAGTTTAATAGATTTTGAAAATGGCTAGGATCTGTTGGTTTTCGGATTAAAAATAGTTTACATATTTTCCATCGTTATCGTTATATATACATATAAATGAAGCATTTTTCCTTTCACCACATTCATTTGAAACTTTCATTCATTCTTCCTTTCACCACATTCATTTGAAAATCCATGACTTTTCAATTTCTTTTTAATAATGATTATAAGTTGGTTAATAAAGTTAAAAAAATATAAAACCTAAAGTGTAATTATATACAAACTAAATTTCAATATTAAAAGAATATATTTTCTTCTACTTATAAAGGTATGTTTTTAACTTTTAACATATTATACTTAATTTATTAAGTCTATTATGTTGTTATATGTAAACCATTATCATTTTAAAGCTACAGCTTTTGAACAATTTGTATAAAATACTTAAATTGTTAATTTAAATATAATCTTACATGATCCACTTAAATATAAATTTTAGCTCAACTTAAACAACCCAAAAAAATATTTTGTAAATAGTTAAACGTGATAAATTGTAGTGTATTTTTAATAATGATTATAAGTTGGTTAATAAGGTTAAATAAGTATCAAACCTAAAGTGTAATCATAAATAAACTAAATTTCACTATTCAAAAGTAATATTTTTACTTCTACTTATAAAGTTATGTCATTAACTTTTAACATATTATACTTAATTTATTATATTTAATATGTTGTTGTATGAAAACCATTATCAGTTTAAAGCTACAACTTTTGAACAGTTTGAACAAATTACTTAAATTGTTAATTTAAATATAACATTACAGGGTCAACTTCAATATAAATTTCAGTTCCACTTAAAAAACCCAAAGAATATTTTGTGAATAGTTAAAAGTGATAAATTGTAGTGCTAAATGCAAAAACTAAATTGTAATATCAATTTAACTAAAATATCTCTTAAAGATATTTTTATAATCGATAAAAGTTTTCAAATAAGTAATTTAAAATAACTTACAATAACAATAGTTAAAAATAACTCCAAATAAATGATTATATTGTTACCTTTAAAAAAATTGTTTGGTATTTTAAATAATTACAATGATAGAAATTAAAACGGCAAATAAATTTAAAAAAAATAATTTACAATAACAACAACTATAAATAACTTTAAACCATATATTATATTTAATTTTATTCATGATTAACCCACGGGTAGAGGTCATTCAAAAAATTAAGATTATGCAGTTTTAATATATGTGTATATTATCATATAATTCAACATAATCAATATATTATATCAACTTAGTATACGAATTATTATATCCAATTTACAACATTATTGTTATATTTAAAAAAACATATATTTGTAAAGATTCCAGCTATATAGATGCTTCTGCGCAACGCGCGGGCATTCGCCTAATATTATGATAAAGTTAGCTTCACGTTTAAAGATTTTGAAGTATTATCTTTGTTGATTTATGTTCTAAAATTTTACATATTTTGGTCATCACCTCACAAAAACTTATAAAATAGATTAGAATTTTTACTGTATTTGTTGCATCACCGTATATATACACAAGTCAAGTATACACATGGTCACATATAGGTAAATTGAAGCCTCAAAGATGAAAATTTTTGCAATACCCATATATATCAAATAAAATTAAGTTGAAGCAAACCATACCAAATAGCTTTTGTGGTGCTTGAAAATATTCATAGGAAATAGTTAGCATAAGGGTATAAACTTGAAATATTAAAACTTGTTACATATTATTTTTTGGAAATGTTTGAATTTACAGAATGATAAAAATTAAAATGATGACTGCAAAATCTATTCAAAAGAAAATAATTCTCTTTTCCACTTGTTTTGTAGGACGTTATACTTCAAAATTTTCCACTCTACTAAACCTTGGCGTACCTTGTATCAATAATTCTCTCCTCCACTGTGTTTTGTAAAAAGATTTTGTCTTTGTGATGATACAATTCCCATTCCATTCAGCAACAAATGCATATTGTAAAGCCTTATGGTTAATTAGCATCAGAACATAGAAAACAAAGTGCTTCAGTAATTCAAATCAAAACATGGATGAAGTCTTTTGTAAAACCTTAAAGATTAACAAAATCATATTGATGTGTACTAAAGCAATGTAATCCCAACAGAAAAAAATCTTTTGGTTTTTTAAACCGGCAAAATGAATAACAACATCATCCCAGGATTTCATTGCTCTGTACTTATTACACATAGTTTAGTATTTGTCGGTCTCCATTAAACATCTATCTGAATCTCTCTAATATCAACTGTGAAAAATCAAAAATTACCTCCATGACTCAGTCAAGCAAATGATCGAATAGTTGGTGGGCAAATGATAATGCAAGACCAACCGCCAAAAGTAAGAAATTTATGCAATCTAAGAGCATCCCTAATGGGGGTTTACTAAGAGTTGAATAGATGATGACTAGGATTGAATAAAAGTTTAATGGAGTGTGAGTGATGACATGGATGAGAGTTAAATGATAGAGTTGCATGATCATTGAGTGGTTCAATGGATTTAATCTTTCATTTTTCAATTAAATTTCAAACCAAATATAGAAATCCATTAAATCTAGAAGATATGGTCGGATCATCTAATTGCCTGGAAAGTAGCAAGGAGTGATTTCGATGACGAAATCTAATTTAAGTGGGGGAGAGTTGTAACACCTTGTTTCGATTCGTCTCATAATTCGGGGCCGTGACTCGAAGATCAAGTATCATAAGGCTTCGGGCTTTGGGAAACAGAGGTTTAGACCCATTTGGATGTAGGTAATGTAGATTATGTGATCCAAGAGTTCAGTTTGTGCTTTGGAGTCAAAGGGTAAAATGGGAAAAGTAGTGTTTCAGACCTCTTTTATGAATTATGGATTTTAGTTCGATGTGTTTTATGTAACGCCCGCAGATCCGGGCTAGTTAATTTAGAGATGATAAGCGTCGAAAATGACTTTCTGGTGGAAGATTATTCAGAAGGAGTAATCTTAACTAAGTTATAATAGTCGTGACAAGGATTCCGGATATATAAAGAATGTCGAAATTCGAGTTATAACGAAGAAGTTATGACATGTCGAAGTTTCGCGACAGAAGCAGGACGACACAGCGCGACGTAAATAGTGAATTTACGATAGAGCGATATTTGGCCTTAGCGATCTAAACGAAAGTGGTAGAATACGCTAAACCAAGAGCGTGCATAAAAAGAACGTCCAAATCTGACTTCGTATGAGGAAGTTATGATTTTTCTAAGTTTCAGCTTAGCGGTATGCAACCCAAAGTTCGTTTATGAGCTCGAGTGGTTTCTAGCCGAAACAATCTAAACGAGAATCGAAGATCTCGTCGATAGTAGTGCAACGGAAGAAAGGCAGACGAAAACGGACGTCAGATAAAGAAGTTATGAATTTCTAACGGAGTTTTCCTGTCCCGGCCTACTAAAAATAATATAATAAAAATAAAGTCAAAATTAGCAGACGGAGTCTAAACGAGAGTTGTAGAGCATAATCTCACCTATGCGTGGATATAAAGAACGTCAAAAACGGAGATCGTATGCAAAAGTTATGATATTCTGAAGTTCGAGACACGCAAACCGAGGCGTGTCAGAAGGGAACGCCCCGCGTTCAGTGCTTGGCTCCGGAGTGGCCACGTCGATGCTGAGTCAACGTATAAGAGATAGGGTTTGGAACCCCGCTCCTACGCGCAGCGTTCGGGTAGAACGCGCTGCGTTCGGGGAACGCCCTGCGTTCCCACAGGGAACGCGCTGCGTTCGAGACCAGATTCACCCTATAAATAGATCACAAGGGAACCGAGTTTGGTTGCCAAATTTCTTCTCTCTCACCCGTATTACCTCGTTTTACGTGCAAGCTATACCCCCGAAGCCCCGGTATCAATCCCGACACCCGAAGCAAGTCCTGAAGCCCCGAAGATCCCGAGAAGTAAAGTTTCCGAGCTGAAACTCTGCCTGCGAGAGGCCCGGTTTTCAAGGAAGCATCCCGGTTTCACCGAAGAATACTACATTTAGAGCCGTAGTGTTGTCCGATCATCGTATTATCAAGTGAGTGTGTAGTTACTTTCTTCTAACACATAAATATGAAGTATTTGCTATGAAATACGTGCTATGTGTTTATACATTGTTTGTTTACTTGAGATGAATGTTGAATTAATGTTTTATATAGGTTTTAAAAGATTTAAACTATATATGTGTTTGCATCTACAAATATGTTGGGTAGAACATGGGTAGATGAAATAGTTGATGTGAGACGAAATAATAAGTGTTTTTGAACTCAACGTGTTCATTAGGTATTTTTGAACTCTATGTGTTCACTTGGTGTTTTTGAACTCTATGTGTTTGTTAGGTATTTTTGAACTCTATGTGATCACTTGGTGTTTGAACTCAACGTGTTCATTAGGTATTTTTGAACTCTATGTGTTCACTTGGTATTTTTGAACTCAATGTGTTCATTAAGTATTTTTGAACT